TGGCTCCGCTCCTGCGTCTCCTACGACAAACCTATAGCCTTGCGACAAACCTTCCGTCCTCGGGAGAGAGACAGGTCTGTCGTCGGTGACCAGAGGAGCGGTCTGGTATTGTGTGATGGACCGTCTCAGTTCGATCACACGGACGACTGCCAGGCGGAGCCGACGGCTCACCCGAGTCAGCCACGGCAGTGCTGGCGAGACAGTGTCAGAAGGGACACGAGTCGCTTATATTTCGTCGTGTGATATCGAGAAATATCATGACTGAGGTTAGGCAGCTCTGGAGCATTTAACCCGCGCACCGACGGGGGGGGGGCGGATATCCGCCCCCCCTGAGGTTTTTCGCGAATAGCGGGAAAACCGCGGCGCGTAGCGCCGCGAAATTTGGTATGCCTATTCCTCATCAATTTTACACATGGTGTGCAAGTTTGAACCTCCTACCTTTCAAGGTCAGGTCACCAGGTCACTTTGAATGACCCAACCTCAAGTCACTTTTTTGCAACTTTGTCACCGTGCCAGAGCTACAGTAGATGTCGGAGGCCTTTGAAAGTCGCAGGATGTTATTAGGTCATTAGTAGCTGCAATTTGTATATCTCGGAATTTTGATATCGGTGACCTAAGGTCAGGTCAATTTCGCGACCTCCCCATTATAAGTCAATGGGGGAAAAATCAACTCCCTGTTTTTACCACTAAAACGGGTCGGAATGGCCCCATATACCATACATGACTTCATATACGATCAACCTTCACTACCTTGAGGTCTGTTTTACTGTTGGGCAGCTGTGAGGTCATGTGACGTCATCAAAGGTCACCAAAGGTTTTTGGCCAATAACTCCGTACAGGAACAAGATACAGACACGTGGATGGTCTCATTGTGTTCAGCTCGTCAAGACGCATCGAATGATATATATGATGACCTCGAGGTCACGTGACCTGAGGTCAACCTTTGACCTTGACCTTTCGAGGTCAACATATATATATATATATATATATATATATATATATATATATATATATATATATATATATATATATATATATATATATATATATATATCATTCGATGCGGATTGACGAGAGGATCACGATGCTGCCCTTAGTTTGTTCCTATCTTGACTAATTCGAAAGTTATTCGAGAAAAACTCTCTCCATATCCAGCGCCGCCATTTTGACTTTTTCGACCCCTGTGACGTCATCTTTGACCTGACCTGAAAATGACCTTAGTAAAAATTGTAGATCTTGACCGTGCGTATCCGATGCCGTTTACCGCTTGTCGGTATCTTGCTTCGTTCTCGAGATCTCAGGGGGGGGGGCGGTCATCCGCCCCCCCCCCGTCGGTACGAAGTTGGCGCAGACCCCCGTCGGTGCGCGGGTTAAGGTTAGAAGCTGGGACAATTTTTTTGAAACGGTGAGACAAAAATTACGTAGCGGAGATCTGGAGCAGATGTGTTCCGAAACGGCTGGGATCTTCGGACCACTCTGACCACTAGTTTAGGCCATCTGAGGTCGGGACCAAATGATCTCTGGAACCGACTCTGCCCCAGGACAGTTGAATTACGACGCAGCTGACGTGCGAGACAGCCGAGTTCCAAGACAGCTGAACTGGACGGCAGGACAGCTGAAGTGCGATTCAGATGGGTTCCGAGACAGCTAAGGTCCGGCAGGCCGGTCCGTCACGCCAGCAGGAGACGGCGTAATGGTGTCCGTTCCGGCCCGCAGCACTCGCCGCGCTGATGGCGACTGACCGGGAGGTCCGTCCACTCGAGATCCAGCCACGGTCCAGAGATTACCTTCAGTCCGTCTAATGCAAAGGTCTGGGCGGTGGTCCGTGCGACGGGTCGTCTTACGGTCCATCCAGCGGGTCGTCAATCTGACCGACCGAAAGCCGACAGAATTAAACCTATCGACCGACTCGCCAATCGTTCAGCCGACCATACGTCGGCACGTCCACTCCAGCGTCCACTCGGGCGTCCGTTCGTACGTCAACAGACTCTTTGACTCCATGTCAATCCTTCCGTCTGTCCATCTGCCCGTCTGCCCGACTGTCTGTCTGCCCGACTGTCTGTCTGCCCGTCCGTCCGTCCGTCCGTCCGTCCGTCCGTCCGTCAGCTCAGGTCCAGCATACATCGCGTGACAGGATGAGTTTGACTGTAGTTTGAGAGTGCTGTACCGCCTGTGAGAGCTGGTCGTTGGAAGTGAGCTGGCGGAGTTTACAGCTCGAGTAAAGCCGCCACATCTGACACTGATACGCTGTGAAAGTATGCAGTTCAATGGTTGAGAACCCGGAGATGAAAGAGATGAAAGCCTGAGAATCTGAAAGTTTGAGATCACGAGATGTCCGGGCCAGAGTCTCGAGTTTGAACCTGATTACGATAACGTCTCAGAAGTGAAAACAAAGTCAGTTAATGCAAATATCTTCTAAGTTTAGGCAACAAACGTCATGATACAAGCAGCCTCCGAGATTGCAGTGTCGACCCTCATCCCGTTGAACCCCATCTCAGGAGTTGTTCTCCCGACAATGCAGGCCATTTCCCTGGCTCGCTGGTTTATTGGGCCGCCACCCAGCCGCCGCGCTGGTGCCGAGGATGTATGCACGTCGCGCCCCGCCGCTGGCCGCTGCGATACTGCCTCCGGCCGCTCCGGCCGGTGAAATATTCGGATACCATGTGTCGCCATGAATGTTTTATAGTTTGATGCATGTGTGCCATGAAATTCAGCCGTATCGCGGCCATTTCGTCTGGGAGTTAAATCTTTCCGCTGTCCATACATCGCGGTAATGAGCTGAAACAGCGCCAGGAATAAAGCTGAAAATATGAATGGATGTTGGGTAACTCAGAAAACATGGGACAATGGGCATTGTTTTGATCGGAGATGTCGAGAGAGAACTTCTGGCCTTTCACCTCCTCTTGCATTGTTGGCATTTCATTTTGTTTCAAACTGATTTCAGTGATGACATCCAAGCTTATTTCATTTTTCATTTATGATTGTTGTCAAATTTTCTATACATTTCCTGTCACATGTGACTAGCCAAAGCTTTAAGCACGAGTACATCAATTGATTCTCCAAAAAGTATCGAACTGTCTGGTCACGTCACGTCAAACTAGGTTCACCAGAACACATCACCTCGTCCTGGCTGCGTCAGCTCTCTGTCTTCTCAGACAAGCCTTAGATCTCTTCTCGGCCCGATAAATAACCCGCGTGTCACGCTCTGGACAGTGACGAGACTCAGTCCCAACATCCCTGCAAAACGATCCCCCAGTTTATACGAGACGCCTCCATCTTCGTCGGAGAGCTGGGGAAACACCGTGCCTCGGCTTGGCGAGAGATGAGACAACGGTGCATCAGTCAGCTCTATAATGGCTCAATTATAAGACGGAGGTTGGGCGCAATATTGGTTTCATACTAAAATGGCTAGAAAGCCGCAAATCTTTATCTATATTTTCAAAATTAAATGTTGAAATTCAGCCAGCACAGTTTAAGCGTCCACACAGCGGATATAAATTAAGTCAGGCGGGTTCACTAACCAATGCTGGTTATATCATAAAGATCGGCTAGTCACCTCTCGGTGAGGACGAACATATCTCAGCATCATTATCCCGTTTCGGCAGAAGGGTTATCTCAGAAGGTCAGAAGTTCCTTCGCAATAGGCCAGAAAACCTTCTTCCAGGTTACCTAGACCAGCCGCCAGGTCCTCAGGCGACTCAGACTAGCTCCGATCCCCCAGGCCATTCAGGCCAGGCCACAGCCCACTGACCACACGGCCATTCCGGGAGACCAAACAAGACCGTGGCCAGACCAAACAGCCGTTCTCTCTCCGAGTCAACTCTGGAAATCGACGGAAACGCAATATGCAAATCGAGCGCGGCGAGCGGCGACAGTCGCAGCGGCAGGGCAAATGTTTGCCGGCACACTTCAGAGCGACGACGGAGCGGAGTGGGGGCGGCAGCGAGGCTCGACGGAGGCTGGAAATATAGTCAGGAGAGAGAGGACGGTCGGCAGGAGAGGTGGAAGGCCGGTGCGCTGTGGATGATGACAGGGTTGAGCTCTCGTGCAGGTGGATATGGGGTTTAGTTTAATTATAGTGTCGCTGCCGACTCGGATACCGCGTTCTCGCTTGAACTGTGCAAACAAAGGAGTAATCCCATCTTGCGGTGTTTGGCATTCTTCATAACAACGCGCATGAAACAAATGGAAACACGCATTATAGTAGGTATTCGACACTTGTATGTTTATTACGTGTTGTGCTATTAATTTAGTACATCCTGTCAGCAACCTAAGTTAATGTTCGCTGTCTTTTATTGAGAATAGATAAACACAAGCTGGACTACAAGAGAAGCTCCGATCTCCGATGATTAAGTGCCGAAAAATAACGTTCATCAACATGCAAGTCCAACCATGCCGTGCCCTAATATGTGTGGTTATGTATCATAACGTCTAGCCGCGTTTATGAAAACCTCGTATTAATGCAACGACTCGGAAGCAGATTGCATGCTCTTATTATTCAGCAAACATTCTTAGAGAAGAATCCACAGGTTAGGTCATTCGTCTCTGCATCGGCTTACTGCTAAGGCAAGATGCGGTGGAAGTATGATTTGCCATCTCACATTGCTTTAGTTTAATTCTGAGAGAATTAGGTACCTACAGCAAGTACCAACTCCTTCATATGTTGTCCAATAAAAGTTATAGAGGGGCTAGTCAATAGTCATGATAGACTTAAACGCCTTTTCGACGTTGCTTTGGGGCTGTTCTGGCCTTATGTCAACTTCGACACCGATGTAACCGAAAATCGGGCCGTTTTGACCTTACACCCTCCTATGCGGCCCAAATATCGAGCTGTTTTGTCCTCACGCCCTCCCGTTTGACCCAACATCGGGCCGTTCGGACCTCACGCCCTTCCGCTTGACCCAACATGGGGGCATTTTTAACCTGACACCATTCCGTTTTCCCTCACACCATCTGCGCCGCAGAGCCAATGCCGAACCGTTTACCGACAGCTAACCCACCTCGGCGGCCACGCCCGGGTCGTCGGACAGGACGGGCACCATCATTATCGGTTAGCGGCGGCGCAGCGCGGTGTGGCACCATTGTCGTCGGGCCGGCGCCGTCACCAGCCCTCCCGAGACCTGATGGATGGTCCGGTCACAGTGGACAGCGCCGCAGGCTACCGCGAGTGACCTGCGCCGCTGCCGGCAGCCACAAAGGTTCCAGAGAGCGACCGCTGTTATTCAAGCGCCGTCGGTAGAGATGTAGAAAAATGCACGCACGCGTGTGCTCGCGCACGCACAAAACACACGCACATAGAGAAACACGTCCGTGCAGTGGACAGAGGAAGTCGAAACGGGGTGGGAGTGGGGATGTGGCAGGGAAGCCCCACGGGACACGGAAGCCTTTGGGCGACTCCCACGCAAGGCAGGTGGAGCGTGTGGAGGGGTGGCGACGGCACGCGTCCGAGTTTAGGGGCGGGGTGACCCCCCCCCCCCGAAATCAATGGAGAGGGGCGACTGACGGAGACAGAGCTGGTGGAAGCGTCTGGAACCTCGTGGAAAATTAGAGGAGGTTTTGCGTGACAGAAGATGGATGGTACAATTAATCAATAGGCAGCTTCGAAATGTTGAACGCCAATGACCATTTTGGATATCCTGCAAAATAAGCAAGACTTCACCCAAACGTGCGAAAAGATTCTGAGGAACAGTATGGGCGAAACAAATTGTCACACGCTGGTTTCGCTCAGCATCATACTGTCCGAAGCATATCAATTGTCCACTGTTCGGCTCGCGCTCCTGGCGGCTGTAGAAAGATTGTGTGCGCAGCACTCTCTAACTACCCCACAAAAGTTGAACCACTCTAGCCGATAACCTTTTCCTCAATCTGGGACGCAGGGTCGACTTCCCAGAGAGGAAAATCAATGGCCGCCGGATTTTACGGCGATTTCTCAGAGTATCTGCGCCCGCGCCAGCAGCGTGCGTCGACTAAAAAATCAAGGTGCCACCGGCTATTACCCTGAATTGGCTTGGCGGCGATCTGGGTCTCGGTCGACACTCGACTCAGCTTGGCTGGCGTTAGCTCGACCTGGCTCGGCTTGATATGGTGCTCAGGTGTCGGCTTATGTATGTATGTATCATACTTTCGAGAGCCTGGACCGCTTAGCAGCTGCTGAGCTAAGCTATCCCTCTGAGAGGAATGGGGATAAGCACTAAGCATCCAGAACAGCCCGTCCGTTGTGACAGGCAATCTCGGGGCAGACCGCAGCCCGGGCTAGACCGCAGCTCATTCTGACCACACTGTGGCCGAGCTGCAGTGCCGTCTGACCACCGCACATCAGTCAGCCTCTGAGCGCGCGCCGCGGAGAAGCACCACCGGCAGACACGGAATGGTTCGGGCCAGTGACCGCCGCCACAAACTGTGTTCTGGTCACAGCGGTCTGTCAGGTGAGAGTGTGGCAATGCTAGCGTATGCGGTAGCTTGCTTTGATTCGCTGTCACGATTAGTTCGTAAAATCAACCGAATGAACCGAATCCGCCCATTGTGTGGTGATTTCGTGCTGTTGTAAAACCATGGACACTCCTTCATTTCCCGAGCAGTTGGCAGAGTCATATAACCACAAACCGGGTCGGCCTGTGTCATTCCGTCTCCAATTAGAGGCTTCTCATCAGGTTCAGGGTGGCGGCACCATAGATCGGAACCATCAGCGGCAGCCACCAGGCCATCGGCGCCGCTCGTCCCAGAGCGGGACGAGGCGGCCGAGTGACGCGCGGCCATCATCCCGGCGGTGACGGCAGCGACCATCGGCGGCGGACGGCCGTCATCAGCCGGCCCCGACGACCGCCATCAGCCGGCCTCAATCGGGCCGCATCTCAGCCGAATGTCGAGTCAAATCGGCCTCATCTCCGGCGGTCCCGCCCTCCGCCGGCTGTCGGGCTGTGGCAGCTCGGGCTGCGGCAGGCCGGGGAGGCCGCGCAGTCTCAAGAGACCGGCGCAGGTGGTCGGTTTAGCTGCCCGGTCAGCTCGGCTGAGCCTCACCTGGTAGAGTATAACGCTCGGCTGCAGCCTCCGCGGGAAAAAGCCTCCGACACGCAGCTAACACGACGTCCCCAGGCGCGGCGACCGCAGGATGGAGCTGACCAGCTAAAAAGCCTTCGTTTCTGGAAGGTGACCGCATAGCTCGGCTACCGGCACAAACTTTTTTACCGTTGCTGAAGTTTGGCGGCGGGTGGGCAGCAGGAAGGTATGCAGGAAACACAGCACGTACCGCGGCCTTCCACGCGGCCGTGCAAGTTCGGACATTAGCTGCGGGAAGTCTGCCAAATGAACCGGCCGCTACGCGCAGGTTCGGGGCCGTTGAGGCCGTTTGAGACCACTGAGCGCGAGGCTGCATAAAATATGAACGAACTTCTCTAGCGCGCTGGTCAATCGATACGGGACAATCTGCCGTCCCGGCACACTGGCGGGGAGGAAGGGGAGGGTTTGGGGAGTCGGGGAATCGGACGGCGGCATCGGCGGCTCGATGGATATTGGCTGAGCCGCCGTCGAGGATCCATGGCACATTATTCACGGCACGAGATGCCGTCTGGGGCCGCCTCGGGCGCCTGCGGAGAGGGGCCGCGAGCGTCTGGGAGAATTGGAAGCTACTGGGAGCGCCGGGAGAGATACTGGGAGCACGGGGAGATTTTGGGAGCACTGGGAGAGATACTGGGAGCGCTGGGAGAGATACTGGGAGCGCCGGGAGAGATACTGGGAGCGCCGGGAGAGATACTGGGAGCACGGGGAGATTTTGGGAGCGCTGGGAGAGATACTGGGAGCGCCGGGAGAGATACTGGGAGCGCCGGGAGAGATACTGGGAGCGCCGGGAGAGATACTACTGGGAGCACGGGGAGATTTTGGGAGCAGCAAGGAGATGCTGGGAGCTGTGGCAGCTACTCGCATTTCAATAAATTGGGAGAGGTGGGGGAGGCATTGAAGTGCGGGAGATGTTGGGAGTTGTGAACAGCACTGAGAGTGCAAAGAGGATACTAAGAAATGGAAGAGCATTGAGGGCGACGGAGTGTTTGGTCCAGTTTAGGCAAACGTCAGGCATTTAATGTTGCAATGGAGCAGCTCGAAATCTTGAAACTCCCTAGGCGAGCCTGGGGGTTTTTAAATGATTGTTATACCCAAAATATTTCACCGACTTTCGCACTCAAAACATGCATTTTCCTAATATGAGCGGAACTCGTTTTCCCACCGTCTGTTGGATGTCATCGCGTAGGTTGGGCAACCGCTCGCTTCACTGTCCAGAAGAGACACTGCCTGCAATTTGGGGTGAGCTCGCCGGTAAATCATTTAGTGTAAACAAGGCCAGGACCCACCTGAATCATCATCACAGCCGAGCTACTGTTGCTGCCGCCGCTGTATAATCCTTAACAAACAACACAATCTAACTTTGATGTAGTCCATTTGCATTAATCTCTTCTCACTGCACGTAAGCTCCCCGAGCTGTGGTGGGCCTCTATTTAACGGGTGGGTTAGTCAGCACGGGGCGTCCGCGGCAGTGGGCCACAGAAGTCCTCTGAAGTCCAGAACCAGCCCTCGACAGTTCGAGGAAGTCCTCAGTAGTGTCAGAAGCACTCCCACATCAAGAGAAGCAGAACCTGAGGACACTTTACCGTCACCAGCACGGATCCTCCATCGCACACACAATTGACACTTCCCCGAAAACTGTGCTTGTAGTCTTTTCTCAAAACAAACGTCGCCAACGAACCTCACCGGAGCCCATTGTAAATGATCCAGTTACCAGAATACACGGAAGATCAAACTTCAACATATCCTCCTTGCAGCGTCTTCCATGTATAGTACACCTTACCTTTTTTCCAAACGCTCATCGTTCTCTTCTACACATACCAAGCCATTTTCACAGGCAGGATGGCAGCAGCTCAGTTACCATTTCTTACAGTAAGCGCACTTTCCCAGGGTCATGAGCGCACGGAAGGACCCCGCTGCCGCCGCCGCCGCCGTACGGTAGCGGAGGAGAGGGCTAATTGCGTTTGCGGCTGGGCTCGTTAAGCCACCCAGCCCATAATCAATGGACTCCGGCTCTCTGAGTAGGCTGGCGGCTCCGGTATCCCAAGGACATAACACTGGGAAAAGACAAAGTGGGACATGCAATACGGGCACGGGTGTTCATGATTAGGTTTGGTGAATATCATATTATGGCATCAGGTTTTGGGCTCAATCCTTTTAGATATGCATTTGTATGGTCTAATTTCATAAATAAATTAAGATAACAAAAAAGGCGGCATTGTTAAAAAAACTTTTGGTACACTTAGGTTAGGCATAGATACGAACAACCTCCAGTTAGGTCGACATAAGACGGCCCGAATTATGGTTGTAGGGGCATTCCACGTCAAATCGAACAAAAATCGGCTGTTTTGCACCTTACCATCAGCGATTTCATTATAAATCTGTGAGCGAGTTCCTGTGTCGCCCCGAACATTACATTGATGTTTTTTGCACATTCTGACCAAAGGTCTTCTAAATATAGGGAATCGAATTTTTACAAAATGTTGCATCTTTATATTTTGAACGACCATAACTTTGGTTGTACTTGTTTGATTTGAATGAAATAAACCTTACTGTTTAGGTAATTTCTTAAGCATTTGTTTAGAATTGCACCTACTTAAATATATGACCTTGAAATTTGCTTAACTCTGTTCTTAAGCACAAAAATTGAAATAGCAAAAAACACGTCACCTTCGATTTGGCTAATTTTCATATATTTTATTGCCTACCATATTCTTAACAACCTGTGAAAAAATTAGAGTGGGCCATTCATAAGTTTTGAAGAAAATGGCACATATGCAAACGTATGTTAGCACGCGCAGTGGAGGGGGAAGAGTGAATTTCGCCCCACCCCTCCTGTTTTTCGCCAATATCTCATAGTATTAATGCGAAATTAATTATAGCTACCTGTCCAAAATTGAATTGCACATCTCATCGGGCAAGCAAGAAGAAAATTGGTTCACAACTGGTCTAGTAATAGCGGTGTAAAGTGAACATCCTGTCGCCGCGGCGA